TTATATTAAAAAAATATGGATGAATATTGTGAAATTCTTTCTTCGTTCAACGATAATTTTATTAAACTTATCAGATGTTACGAAAAAAGTTTACATAAAATAAATAGACAACACTTGTCTATATTATTTAATGAAACGTGTATATATATATATATATATATATATATATATATATATATATATATATATATATATATATATATTCAAAGAAATAATCACACATAGAATCAAACCGTCAATAATAGCAGATATTCAAAAAACATCTTTCGGTCGACAAACAGTTATTTCGTCTTCAAGTTTTTGATTTTATAAGGAAAAAACAACATATGCCTGATGATGAATAGAAGACTATTCGTAAGTAATAGCAATTTAAGAACACAAACTGGAAGCAACAGACATCAGTTTTATAGACGAGGATCACTTCACTCTATGGATTAACAGTATTTTAATGCATACATTATACTACTAGCGGTGGATGTCGCCAATAATCGCATTAATATTTCTGATTGATTCTATGTGTGATTATTTCTTTGAATGTAAATTATATGCTGCCTAATGTTTTATATATATATATATATATATATATATATATATATATATATATATATATACGGGGTAAAATGTATGACAAAGTGGAATGAGTTTTCTTGTGACGCATTTTGTCCTTTAGAATTTCACGGATTAAATATGTTATGTTTGTGCGAATACACATGCGCACAAACGAGGGATACTGACAATTAATTTTTTCTTAATATTTAAAAAAAAGTTTTTTTTTATATATATAGTCTAACCCATTTCATTTATATTATTTTTCTATTTGTTTCTATCACTTTTGTTAGTTGATATCGCACACTGTGATAATAGACGTTCTGCCAGGAGTGGTGAAATGTTATAAGAGCCCGGACGCATTTTTACTGTACCTTGCGATCAAGGCACTTTCTAGACAATTTCAGTGTAGTGAATTGTCTTCTCCTTTCATCAAAGTAGCATTTCTTATGAAAAATGGTGGTCAGTCTCGTTAGGGTGGGTATTTAGTCCAGTGATATCCTTTTAGACGAAACGCGTCACACAGAAACTTTTTCCATTTTGTCATATGGTTTTCCCAATTACTATTCTTCATATGTAAAATAAAATTGTATATCATTATCTTTTATATATATATATATATATATATATATATATATATTATGAGATGTACTAATCCGACAATTATTTTTATACATTTTTTTGTTTATACGTTATTTTTTTCTAGATACAATTATTTAAGTAAATACTCTGTTTATAATAAACAGTAGTAACAAGATTTACCGGATTAAATTCCTAGAAATCCCAAAGAAAATATGTCCTTCGACAGGAATCAAATCTGTACCCTAGCAATTTAACCTTGCTAACAAGACGCTTCCTCTGTAGCTAAATGGTATAGCACGTCAGGCTAGTTCCGTGTAGGATACAGGTTCGATTCCTGTCGGAGGGCACGTATTTTCGTTGAGATTTTTCGGACATTCAGTCCGGTAAATGTTGTTAATACAGCGAATTTACTAAAAAGTCTATGTTGGACTCTTCCGCCTACTATAAGATTAGTAGGAGAGAAGCCCTTGCGGGAACATTCGAATAGATCTGTTCCAGCTGTGCTGGTCAAACTCTCTGCCTCCAGGTAGAGAGCATCCCCAGACAAGGCTTTGTCGATGGGCAGAGTCGCGTCTCGGGAAACAGCTATCCGACCCCGTTTTATACGGGGTCTATGGGGAATTTTTGGTCGAGTCTACGAGGTCGGATTGACCCACATTAAACTCGGCCTTGTGACACATCCTACCTCGTGGGAAGGCTGGTAAATATAACAGTTGATTAGATTGAGCGCTGGGTCAACACACACGCACTCGCTAATCGTATAACACTCTTCTGTTTTACTTACTGTTTAATAAATGATATATCTGTAACACATGTTTTCTTATTTATTTAACTATTTATTTTGTCACAACAACTTCAATATTTGTATCTATAAAATAATTTATAAACGATATATATATATATATATATATATATATATATATGATAAAGTTAATTGGTAATCCGTATGGATAATTCCAGGGAGGATATAAATCCCGAGAGCTTAAGTAAACAGAGCAAGTAATAATTAATTAACAAATCGGAGACTTCATAAAGCCATAGTTTTACCATGGCTTTCAGAAGTCTCCGATTTGTCAATTAATTAATTATATATATATATATATATATATATATATATATATATATACAATTACATTAAGACCCGCTCACACGGTAGTGAATGCATGGAAGTAGGTTGAGGAGAACATAACATAATACGACAATTAAATCCGCAAGGATTTTTTTTTCTCTTTAATTAAATGTAAAAGGAAGAAAAAAAAAGAATTACCATAACGTTGGCGCATGTGCAGGGAATACATTACTGGAAAGCGCGCTCAAATCACGCCGTTGATCATATACCTGTAGATAGCAGACAAAACAAAATCTGATTGGCTAATGCAAATCTCGATGCCATTACAAAAGTAAGATCTCCCTCCTGATATAATTGTTGTTAAAATCTCGATTCGTGGAGCGAATTATGCGAAGAGGCGGCCTGTCAACAGGTTGGAGTACCTGGCAGAACGGATCTGATATTGCAATACCCTAAATTCATAAGGAAGTCAGGGTAACGTCACTGATGACCTCTACCGTTGTATTATATAAATGTATTTCAAGAATATATATATATATATATTTATAAATATAAATGACAATAGGAAAACTGTAGTAGTTGCTGACGCGTTTCGTCCAATGTGGACTTTTTCAAAGCAAAAAAACGAAATGAATTTAATTAAACAAAGTAACTAATAATAGCAAAAAACAGAATGTTCTTAGCAACTGGAAGAATGTAGAGAACGCTATTTTCATATTGTTAACTGAAAATAACTTCAGTTAATGTCACGTGAGGAGAATATTGTCATTCTAGCTGTGTTGACGGATTCAATCATTTTCTTTTGATTTTACGATATTGTTGTGTACGTTTGTTTGGGAGAACAGTAATTTTGTTAAGAAAGGTAAAATAGGGAAAAAGCCTAGGCGTAGATTAATATTTGGGTAATATTCTATGGCGGCACTCTCTAGAATAGCACGTTGTTTCTATGCTCATAGTTGATATTGTTGAGGGTTGGCTTTTTATTTATTATTATTATTAAAAATTTAGCTACAAAGAATACGTCTGGTTGGCAAAGTCAAATTACTGTTTTTAAACAACAAATTTCCCATGATTATTCCCGAACGATCATATCTGGTCGAAGCGTATCTTAACGTGAACAAATGACAACGTATATTATGAAATGGACTAAGTGCGACAATTATTTTAATACATTTTCTGTTTATACGTTCTGCTATACTAAATGGTATAGCACGTCAGGCCAAATGACAGTTCCGTGTAGGATACAGGTTCGATTCCTGTCGGAGGACATATTTTCTACGAAATTTCTTGGGCATTTAGGCCGGTAAATGTAGTTAATACTGTTTATTATAAACAGAGTATTTACTTGTATCTCTAAAAATAACGTGTAAACAGTATATATATATATATATATATATATATATATATATATATATATATATATATATATAGAAAGAGAGAGAGAGAGACAGACGGATATATATGTAATAGATTTGATGCTGACTAAAGGAGTGGCATATTTAATAACAATTTATAAAGGCGCGTCCATCATATTACATTTACCTCTCGTCGTCAAAGTTTTATTATGTCTGTTTTGTGTATTTTCTTTTATGTCTTTTGTAAAAAAAATATTTTTTTCATTCCAACTCAATAATAAATAGTTTTCATCATTGTTATTTTGTGATCGAATATAGAACTTAAGTTTGTATAATTCAATTCGTTCGGTCGCCAATGCCTCAATAAATATTGTCATCGTCGGGTTCCACCCAAGTCATGTGCCTTCCAGCGTAAATATGATTTGTGCAAAAGGGCAGGCCTGTATGATTTGTCAACGAATAAGATTGTAAATTTGGAGACAGAAAATAACGGAGAGAGAGGGAAGGGTTAAAAAACAAGAATGGCATACAAGGAATACGAAATGAAACGAAAGGAAAATTCGAAATTACTTTCAACCAACTTTATAAAGATAATTAGAAAAGATGAATTAATTAACAAAATCATCAATTATTATTTTGACGAGCTTCTTTTTGTTCATCTGAATTTTTCTTTTCTGTATAGACACACGTATATTTAATTCTTTTTTTACTGATTCACTAACACGTTTTTACGGCTTATCAACCCTTTGCAGGTCATTTAAAGCCATTATATATTATCTCATGCCGAAATCTAATTATTTTGTACGCAAATTTATTTTATTTTTTGGAGATAATAATTGTTCTACTGATACAAGATTTACTAATTAAATGCTGTGTCATGAATCGGAAAGGTTGACACGTATATAGAAAATAAGAAGTAATTTATTTCAAAGAATGATACGGTATACGGTTGAGAACAAAGATTAATGTATTAAACGCTTAATCTTTAACTCCCTTGTATTTATCCGAGACCTCCCCAAAAGGCGTGATGTGGCACCAGGCCGGTTTTTTACGTTGGGCAAACCGACACCGTATGCTCGGGCAAAAATTTCCCGCAGACCCCGTATACACGGGGTCGGGTGTTTGTCTACCTCCCCAGACGAGGTTCTGCCTTTCGTCATAGCCTCGTTTGGGTGCCTCTCTGCCCAGCGACAGAGAGCCAACAAACAGAGTAACGAATAATCGTTGACTCCTTTAAGAGAGTTCTCTTTAATTAGTCTTAGACCAGTCTATCTTGTGGGGATGTTCAGCTACTCCATAACTTTAACCCATAGAGAGGGAGAAATGGTGGATTCATACCTTTCCCTTTGCATATAAATAAATATAACGAACCTAACTTGAATTGGAACTCGGCCATCTGATTAACAATTCCGAGTCGTTATTCATTACAACACACCGATGTTTACAGCGGTATTCACAAGCGGTCACTCATTTAGGTACTGACCAAGATCGACGTTGCTTAACTTCAGTGATCGTACGGAAACCGGTGTTTCAACGTAATGTGGCCGTA